ATATGTAATTACGAGTAGTATTATGCATTATTTTATATTTCATATTGTATTATCGATTTACCTATATTCCTATAATAATGTAATACAGTGGTTAGTGAGCCGCGAGCAGGTGGTACTGGACCGTGAACCATATTTTATTAACATTAATTACATATATTTTTAAAATATTAAATATCAGCAAGTGAAGAAGATTCGTTGATTGAACTCTAATGTGATCGGACTCTAAACTCGTTTTTTAAAACTACACCATTATTACCATTATACTTAAATATTCGGCGAGACTTTCCAACAATTTCTAAAATTTTACTTAGAAATTTGGTGGGCTATATTTCGACAACCTGTGTCTTTGTGAACGAGCTTTTTCTACTTTTTAAAAAATAAATGTAGGAATAAATTGAATTTTGAGTGATTTAAGGCTAAAACTTTTCATTTTTAATCCAAATATTGATTCTCTCATTGGGAACAATCCAAAATTACATTAAATTGTTTAACTCTTGAATAATCTACTTCAATGAAGTTCTATTTTTTGATAAACAATTGTTTTTTAATAAATAAATTGTAATAACTGACGTATGTGCATATTATACATATACAACTATTGGTGTGGGCCTCAAACATTTTCTACGAAATTGGTGGCCCGTTCTAATAAAAAGGTTGTTAACCGCTGATGTAATATATGATACGACTCAAGGGAGGTGTCATATCTACCAAACACCCCCCTTGTATACGCCACTGGTGACAGTTAAGTAGCCGCACAGCTTTCATTTTGTCTTCATTTTAATCTCAATCACACCACGATTCGTTACCATCGCATGATGCTTTTAAAATATCGATATACAACTTTGAAAAAACGGGTACTGATATTAAAAACGAACCTGCACCAAAAGAAAACCATTCGTACACCTGAAAATGTTCTCGCTGCTTTCAATGCCACTTTCATGAAAAGTCCAAGACGTTCTGCACGAAAACATTGCGTTGGCGTTAAATTCATTTAGTTAGAGTCTACGTCGGATTTTACGCAGTGACCCAAACTTTTATCCGTACAAGGTGCAGGTGGTTCAAGAATTAAAACGTGCAGTTCTCTATAGCCGCACAACTTTTTGTCAATAAAGGCTAACCCGGATGGACGAGAACAAAAACTCAACAAAAACAAAAAAAAAATGTTCGTATGTTTGCGAAATTGTCATTATTAGTTCGAAGAAAATCTTCGCCAACTTCATCAACGACCTTTACACAACGATCGAGTAACTGCATGGTGTGCAATTTCACACCATGATACCGTTGGCCCGTATTTTCATGAGGACTGACGTGGACGGGTAACAACTGTTAATTAAAATCGTTATGTCCATATGATCAATAATTTTTTGGTTAATGAACTAACAAAGTCTCCTCAAGTTGATAAACTTTTAGTTCCAACAGGATAGCACGACATCTCACATGTCCCGATTACCAATGAATGATATTCAAAATTTTTTTTTTAGAAATCGCATTATTTCTGAAAATTGTGATATTCATTGGCCACCTCAGTGACCTGATTGATTTATCAGCATGTGACCTTTTACTGTGAAGATATTTAAAAAGTAAAATATATGCACTAAAATCTGGAAATATTGAGGAACTAAAAGACAAAATTCTAAGAGAAATCGCCTGTACCCCTTTGAAAGTGATAAAAGAGTGCTTGAGAAGAGATGACCTTCATCGTAAGGACATGATTTTTAAAAATAAATGACAAGTTATGTATTTAATTTTAATAGTTAACAGTTAATTTTCGCTGTATAATTTATCTTTGAAAATCGTTATTATTAGTGCCTCACCGTGTACGATTTAAAAATCATTCGGCGACTGACGGTATATGTGTGTGAAATATAGAATAAATGAAATACCGCGATTTGTGATATATTAACATTGATGTACCTAATTATTAATATTGGTTATTATGAATATTATAGTTTTCAATAAGCAATCGTGAGCGCGTACTGATGGACCAACGGACGAACCGACACGACTGGGATTTAAAAGGATCCTTAACTTATGAAACCTACGACCACTAATTTGACGATTTATAAACATTTGATGACGTGCGAGTCGACATCGTAGTAGTAACTTCACGTTGTCGTCGGCAACCCGACAGCGGTGCGTTCGAATTGTCCACGCGTTACTCCGCGTTAAGCTGCGTCCAGACTACACGACCAAGGCAACCGAACGCCAATGTCTCCACATTCGGCGTTGGCTGTATATAGATATGAGAATATTGGCATACTGTCTAAACTCATTCCGAATACGTCATTAGTCCGCGTTTGGAACCCTTCGCTGGTTTAAACTGCGAACGCACACAATTTATTTTATATATCCGATCGAACCAAATGTTGACGAAGACCAAAATATCAACAAATCGTGTCCAAACTGGTAACGAATTCCTTTGATGTACCGCTCCCCGAGCGAAGGCAACCGAAGGCACATTCGCCGTTGTCGTTCGTCCGATCGCGCTGTTTACACCCTAGACCAACATCACCGAATAAGGTCGTCGCATGTGCCTTCGGTACCCTTGGTCATCTAGTCTGGACGCGGCTTTAAAAAATTATGTTACAACGGTACCGTAAATCAACTCTACTACGATGCTAATCACCGGCAATTAACCGTATGTGCGATAATCAATTGTACTACGCGTTTACAAGAACAAAGCGTATCGATTGGTCAAGGTTTTCAGTTTTATTTTCCTAATCGTTATAGGGTGCACCCAGTGTTCCGATACCCGTCTCTGGCTACCATACTATTATTATTATATAATACCACGTTATAATCAGCGTCGTAGATATGGTGATGAGGGGGTGTAAGAGGTTTCCACACCCCCCAGATTTTTTTCTTTCAATGATACTTAATTATTATTTATTAATATTCACATATTATAGTAAAATAATTTTAATATATAATATTATGAATAATAATATATTATAATTATTATATTTTCGTTTTACTATAATTAGGTGTATAGTAAAAATTGAGTAACAAAATAATTTTCATTAAATACGTGCAAGGCTGGACTAAGGAAGGCGGGGTCTAGCCAGGGCTCTCTCGAGGAGTAAGAGAAGTGAAAGTGGCCCAAAAAATTTTAAGCCGATACACATTTATAATCATACTAAAATTAGTAGTTTTATAGACATAAATTGTACATACCTATTAATTTTATAACGCAGTTGACAATTTATGAAATAGTTAAAAAAATATATCGTTCTGCAAGCGCAGCGAGCAGCTTTGTAAATCATGTTTTGTCAAAAGGGCCCATATAAAATTTTAGCCCCGGGGCCCGATAGGTGCTTAATCCGGCCTTGAATACGGGACATAATAATAATAATATCATATAGGACCTGTATTGAGATATACTAAGAATATTATGAATTGACTCTTAAACAACCCCCCCAAAAAAAAAAGAAATTGCCACTGATTATTATGTTACACGTATTCCCGTGATACCACTCGTCGATTCGGGCAAACGCTACGCGTTCGAGACGGTAATTCGAACGAAACAATGGCGTTCGTGTGCTACGAAACGATGATCTCGCGGATTTCGCTGCACCGATCTCGATTTTTCATTACACTTAAACGAACGGATTTTGTTGGGTTTCCGACGTTTTGCCGGTTCGAGTGAAAATTTAAAACGAAAAACGACTGTTGGACCGGTCGCTGAAGTGCCGTTCAAACATCGAACGTTGGCTGACCGACACGGCGGTGTTATTATTCTCAATCCGTCTGCTGCGAACGACCAGTTGGTTTTTTACCGTTTTTTCGACACGGGCCGGGGGAAGAGCACTGAAACTCGAACGTTTCCGTCCGTCCATCGTACGCGTGCGTGTGCGAACGATATACACGTAAACGCGAGTAACCGCGTAACACCGAAACGATTTGTAAAAAAAATAAAAAACGTTTTTCCGTACTTTCGAAAGCGTAGTACATTTTTACGACAGCGTGGTGAGGGTACGCATCAGCCCCTATTTTTTATAGAAATTTGTACCACACATTTATTTTAATGTACAAAGATTTGATACTGATATCCTTCCATATGATTATAATTTTTAGTACTATGCCGGTAATAATTCTTTTTTATTAAATAAATTTCACGTTATAATTAGGTAACTACCAATGTTATTTTTAAACTTTTGTCTGGTATAAATATAAAAAAAAAATACAAATTACATTTAAATTCACTAATTATTTATTTTTATTTGGGATATATAACTTGAAATGTAATAGATATATTTAAGTCCTCATCAGCTGTCTTGCTTAAACTGGCTTCCTGAAAAACACTTTTATAATAGTCTTATTTATTAGTATTTAGTACAGAGGTGTCAAACTTAAATTACCAACGGGCTACCTATATATATTTACGGCAAAGGTTCGCGGAAAAAAAATCCTCTTTTTTTCCTCATTTTAATAATAAATCTAAAATAAACAAAATAAATTAAAAAAAAATATACTTCTTTTATTGATTATAATTATGACATAAATAAACATTGTGCTGTGTATTGATATTTTTTTAATAATAATAATAATGATTTATTTTTGTTTTCGAGCAACACTTGATACTTGACGTGTATTACTTTGTACCGAACTGTAAAAATATAAAATATTTCTTAAAATAAAAGTGTTTGAAGAAATAAATATTCATCGCGGGCCACATTGAAAGGGTAGTAGTTCACACTTCCGGTTTCGGATTACACACTTTATGTCGGGTTCACTGAAAATAAGGGCTGGGGTATGCTCTACGCATTACATAAGCGCCCCGTACGCGTGTAAGTTTCAAAAAGGGAAAATGTTGCGTTTAACCCGATTTTCGTCGGGTCCGGTGTAATTCTGTTAATTCTTCGTGAGCCCACGCGATTTATATTTTTTACCGCTAAGCGCCAAACTTAGTTATTATTAAGGCTATGAATTTAATGCACTTAAAAACTATTAAATATGTATAAATATATGCACTAAAATCTGACAAAATATGCTCTAATTTTTCAAAAATATGCAAAAAAAACAACAAAAATTTAACTTTTTAAATATTAGTATTGTTACTTATCAGTGTGAGTATATGACTTATTGATCTTGACTAGTCTTGGTCTTTGTCGTATACAAGATCTATAAAATAAATGTAAATTATAAAAAAATATAATTAAATATAATTAAAATTATATATTTTACCTTTAAAGTAGTTATTGCATTGAATGATTTCTTCAGATTTTTAAACTTGAAAGACCTCCTGTTTGGTGCCCGAGTAAAAATTGAATAATTTCCGTGAAACTATTAAAGCCGTAGTTTATACAAATACATTTTTGACAGGTTGACTGAAAAAATGTAAATATCATGATAAAAAGCGTTTAAACAAAAAAATTATTAAAACATGCATTTATACGTTCTAACCCATGAAATATGCAAAAATATGTAAAATAAGATTTGATGTTTGAACTACAAATAAGTCATAACAACGTTTAGCCGAATCTATACTTTTATACGGTGTAGCAAAAAAAAAAAAAACATGCAAATGCGTTAAATTCACCTGTTTATTACTGTCGTTATTGCTCTGTTATTATTACGATAGTTGTTGATGTTGTTGTTGTTGTTACCTATACCGATGACGATCACCGGTGACGGGTTGACCTTTGTGAACACACGACGAGTGACCGCCGTCGCCCGTCCTCGGGAGTCGACGGTCGTTGCGCGTATTTGTATTACACGAACGTATTTTGCAACGCGAACGTTGACGAAAACCGGAAGTCCGAAATTTCCGGTAAACGACCCCAGATGGATTGCTCGCGCGCGCCAGGGTCAAATGGATTTGTATAACCGAAAACTTGGTCGTGACGTCGCTTGTACGTGTGACACGAGTTGATCCGGGTCCGGGGACTGTTTGTGCACGCTCTCGGCAAACGATAGGTTCGACCGAAAAACCTCCGAAATAATAACACAGCTCGTTTCACATTCAAATTATGTATGTTTCGAGACCATCGATTTAACGCTCAGGTTGTTCGGAGATTGAGAACGACGGTGACGGCAACGACGACGTGGGTTCGTGAAAAAGAGAAAGAAAAGGAATAAATCGAAAAATTACTTTTCCGTTTCTTCGCCCCTTCCCATTTTGCTCTGTCTCTCTCCGCCACCCCTCTTCCGTAATCCACTTGAAACTTATGTGAAACGAGCAAAAAGTTTTTCCTGCGCGGAGAGATTAAATTTTGTGAACAAGAATACTGTTACGAGTTATTATTTTTCATTTCAAAATAATAAACTCGCAAACGTATACATAAACGCGCACGCAAAGGTCGCGTAGTCAATTATTAGCAGGTGCACATTTAGGTGAATTTTCCTGTTTGTTTGTTTGTTTGTTTTCTGTGAAAATAATAAAACACTAACACTTCAGCGTAGTCAAGTGTGGTTAAAAAAATCGTTAGTTTAGCTTATTAAACGCCGCAGCACTATATATTATTATTCTAGCGTCATCTGCTATTTTCTAATATAACACCGCGTATGTATGTATTATAATCCGATAAGCCGAAAATCCTCTGAATATTTATTTAATTTTGGATTAGAAATATCATAATATATGCGCAGAAACTGTAATTCGTTTTTCTATTAAACGCCATAGTATCATGTATACTTTTACCGTAACGATCCGTGAATGAATTAAAATGTACTAAATACTTTGCTATAATTTAATTTTATCTGCTAAAAACACCAAATGTGCACACGTTATAAATAAAAGTACCTTTTAAAATCTGCAAAATCAATACTATCGTTTACGCATTGTTCATTAAAAAGCTAATGTTTTCCGATGATAATAATATAATAAAATAATAGTAATGTCCCTCCACTTGATCTTACTCAATACACCGTTGTCTTGTTGACGATTCCAATCTTGTGCATATTTACGGAACTGTCATTGATCTATGTTTCAAATGTAATATTATTTTAGATCCTACACGCCTTACATCGAAATGATCTGTATAGCAGATTTAAGGTTCTTAGTTTTTTTAATGAGATTATATTCGGACTTTCAGCTCAACTTACTGGTTAAAACATTTTGTTGTGAATTAGTCCGTACTGTTTTTAAGTATTTTTTGTCTAGAATCTGAAGTCCCCATACTGACGTCCACTGACGCTTATCCTGTTGAGAGATTAAAACGCAGATCACATCGGTTTGCTATTTTTCCACTAGATATTCCTCGTCTGCCTCGTAAGTATTTACCTATTGATGAACATCTTAACTTTAATACTCTTGTTGAACGCAGATTTATCTTACGTACTGAATTCCTGAAACAAACTTGCTTGACGGTAAACTTGATTCTTCATCTTTGTTATCTTTAATTAATTTCAAAGTTCCCCAGAGACGTTCTGGATACGAAGTTCCATTCTTTATCCTTTTTCTTACAACCAATTACTTATTTAATGAACCACTTTGAATTCTTATGAAAAATGCTAATGAGTATCCTTTAATTTACAGTTTAACACCTGTTTTTTTATATTTCTCGTATTGGCTATTTTCTCATATCGTTTATATATATTATTCACCTACCTATATTACTTTATTTAACGTTGGTATTATTTTGTAAATTATTTTTCTTTATCCCGTTTAATGTAATATAATGACGTTATATCAACATTGTACTGCAGTGTCCATGTAAATATATACTGCGCGTGTTGTTTTAACAAGAACACATCTGAACGAAATCAATTATTATCCAATTATATCATATTGGTTTTCATAAAACTAAAGACGATTATTTCAAATCGATATTGAATGCGCATTAAATCGAAATAGTTCGTTAATTGTAGTTGATTAATTATTGGGAAATGAACACATCGGTCATGGATAATTACACCGCACAATGTGTACATAGAAATAAAACGCTCAGATCTCGCAGAGATGTATAGTTTTATCTATCGACAACTTATTGACCATCGATAACTTTTCTCTCATTCTCCGGTCGTGCGTGGTAAAACGTTATGATAGTATGTGTTACAATATTGAATTCGTTGTACTCAAGTTTTGATTTTGAAACGAGAAATGTGATTTTACACACCACGAAAATCCGTCGGTTTCTTTCGCGAGCCCTCACGCGTGACCCGATCGATTTAATTCGAAATGTGTATCGCAATTATTATGTAAATTAGGGTCTGCCCACGTGTAACAGTTACGCATAGTTTACACATAACAATAAAATTAATACGATTGCAGTGTCCGCGGTCGGTACGCGGATAGGGAGGGTCTAATAGCCAACATCTAAAGTTTTAAATTAAAATACATAACGATTTAATACGAGACGAAAAAAAGTAGTAATTGTTCTTACTACAATAAAAATGTTGTACTTTATGTACTCAGAGATATTAATGGTCACAGAAAATCATTAAAGACGCGGTATTTCGTTGTTTTCCATCATCAAAAATGAACATCTCCTGCATTTTTATGGTAAAACCGACCTTGTATTATAAAAGCTCGGTGATAAAAACAAATTTGCAATAATAATAAATTTTGCATAATTTTATGCGCGGTGTTTGAATTTTGTTTACTTCGAGAAGAGTAATCGCTGTGGAAAAAAATCAATTACAATATTACAAGTGTTGTACCTGATAAGTAGTGCGTTCCACTTATATCCGAATAAAACTAAGAGCACCTAATGCGGTACATAACATTCGTTTTAAATTATGTAACAACTGTGTATTTTTTACTCACTGTTCATTTTGACCTTAAAAATATTTTATGCCATGAGGTCATTGTTGTCAATATCAATATGTAAATGCTTTCTCTGTGTCCGTTGTACCGAGAATTTACAAATTGTTTACAGTCTTATTTACACGGACATCCTTGAAATTGAACTCCATATTAAAATCAAAAACATTTAATGAATAATTGTTGAGAGTTGAAATTTTGAATCATTCATTTAGTGTACAACTTTGCAGTTCAGTAAAAACACGATTAATTATCATTTTTATTATTATTATTATTATACGTTAATTATCAACGTAATATAAGCTGTTCGGTGCTGTTTGAAGTTATTTGCTAGTTTTTTTTTATTGATCTTCGTCGAAAGAAACACAAAGAATACAAAACAAATGACGAACCAATAAAAACAAATACAACATTCAATTATTATTTTTCATTATAATGATATTAAACACCAAAAAACGACAAATATTATTATTAGTTATTAGTACATCAAACCGGTAGCAGTAATTATATTGTAAATATTTTAAACAAATATATTGTATTGTCAATCGTATTGGTTGAAATCGAAGCCAATTGATAAAATTATATTTCTTGTATTTTTTTTTTTTTTGTCATTATAACAAAGATATCAAATACAATAAAAAATATAGGAGTCCTAGTACTTTTTTATAAAAAAATATGAAATATAAAATTAAAAATTATTAAATTACTTAATACTTTTTTATATATATAAATGTATATTTTATAACCAAGGTTCGGAACTTTATGTGTTAAAAAGTACTCAAATATGCGCATATATATGCATTAAAAACATAATAATATACGGTATAATAAGCAGTAAAAATTTGGAAAATATGCAAATTCATGCAATTTATTGAATAAAATACAATTTACATAAATTAGATACATGGGGAAAAAAATAAAAATAAAATAAATAAGCGCACTTTTATGTAGTATTGTTGAGTCTTTCTGTTATAGGTACTAACTAAACAATCATTATCAAACTTTAATCTTCTCTAATATAAATGTATAAATATTGTTAACAACTACTTTATATTATGCCTCGATAAATTCAGATAAAAATTAATTATTTATAATACGAATTCTCAGTACATTAGAGATAACATAATATATATAATATTGTTAAGTGCATTGGTAGATATAATCAAATTTCCATTAATAATTTATTTTGTTAAACAATATAAAATTTAGAATTTTGTTTGTCATAAATCTAATATATTTTGTTGAGCTCTAAATTATTAATAAAAATAATTTATATCGTTAAATCTATGCATTTAAAATTTCTTAAACCTAAACATGCAAATTCCTATAAAAATATCGAAATGTGCAAAATTATTTAACAACATTTTATGTATTTGAAACTTGCGTAGGCACTATAGATCGAATTTGTATCGAAGTGGAATTTCAAAATGTACTTTCTAAACAAATATGCAATTGCCCCGGGGCTCTTAATTATAACTATTATGTCATTTGAACAACGGAAAAAAATACTAATTTTCAATTCTAAATAATCGTGACCTCGACGAATTTGATCACAGGTTTGATTACAATTTACAAAAACGCGTTTAAAATTTAATTATGTGAAGATAGTTAAATTCCACCATTTTTCTCAGTAGTAAAAGTCTATATAGTCCTCGGAAATGTATTACTTTATAATTTTTTTCTTTTTTTTTTATCAATACATTCCGATTTAGCATAACATGCAAAATACAATTTATTTTAGTATTTGACTATTGGTATGGATTGCACGACACCAGGATTACAAAATATTTAGTATTTGATCAATACTCAACCAAAATAATTTCTAACCAAAAACCAGTTTCAAAACTTGCCTTTCGTGGTATTTTTGAGTCGTTAAAACAATAATACATATTTGAATTTCGTTTAAATTTCGATAAGCTATAAAAATTTCA